TAATATTGAGTTGATAAGAGTTTTTTAAAGATAAAGTTATTTTAAGTGATTTAAGGTTTCAAGAAATAAAAATGAATTTACATATTTGAAAATTTTATAAATATTATAGAAAATTGATGAAAATAAATTTGTGGGATTATAAATTTATTTATTTAGAATTAAGTTTGTGAATTTATAATTCATTAAAAGATTAGATTGAAGATTATTAAATTAAGTTGTTAGAATTTTGATTTTAAAGGTCAATGAGGGTTGTTTTGATCTTACATAATTTGCTAGTCTAATTGAAACAAATATTTTTAGGCTAATAATTAACTTGGTTTGAAAAAATATATATAAATTTTTAGGACAATTAAACAATGTAATAAGGAAATATAGTTGCTAGTAGATTAACATCAAGATTAGAAAAAGAAGATTATCAAGACTCAAGGAAATTAAGAGCTTTTTCTTTCAATTAATAAGTTAGATTATTCTTATATTTTATTTTCTTGATTTTAATTAATATATTAAAATGTATAAATTTTTTGAAATAAAATAATAAATTTAATTAATAATCATTGAGGTTTTAAATTTTCTATATGATTTCATTAGTATTTATGTAATATTTGATTAGAATATCTTTAAAACTTTATTAAAATTATTCAATTTTATTTAGAATTTATTTAGAATTTACTTGAAATTTGATTAGGATATTTTAAAATTATATATAAAGATTCTTTAGAATTTCTATTCAATATTTTTAGAATTTTTTTTGAAAGATTTTTTAAAGATAATTTAGGATTTAAATAAAGATTTAATTAGAATTATAAAGATTTAATTAAGATTAATTTAAAATTTTAATAGGATTATTAAATCCTTTTTTTGTTGCAAAATCCAAGTTATCTTCTACAACTAGGTATTTGGTATATTTTCAAATATGATGATACATAATATGATAATTGATTGCATATTCTATATTTTAACTTTTGATTTATTTCAATGAAGATTTGTTTGGAAATATTGCAAAGAATGTACTACATATAGATGTGCTAAAAAAGTCAATTTTTATCATATGAGATGATTCACCAATAGAACATTGCTATTGTATTGAAGCAATTGATAGAATTCTCTAAGATGTAAATGAAACTAATAAGTAATTTAGGAGAATATTGTAGTTTTTGGTAGAGATTTTTGGCAAATTCTTGTTATTGTTGAAAGTTTAAGATATGAGATTGTTAATGCTTCTTTGCAATAAATTAAGATTTGATTTCACCTTAAAATTTATAAGTAGATCAATAATATGTATTTGGAAGATGAATCTAGTGAGAATTGATTATTTGCAAGAGAGCTTTTAAAGATAAGTATGATCTAGGTTTGTTACTTTTAAGAGTTTTTTCATGATACAATGTTTGTGTTTAATATATCATTTGTAGATTAGAATTAGATCAAAAATTACAAATCCATTGAAAAGTACAATGATACTTCTAAAATATGTAAAAGTAGGTACTACATCAAATGATTTGATTGAAGTTGTCTATTTAAGATTGAATAAGAATAAAAGACTTGGAAATTAATATTTTATCAACATGTCAATTTTATCTTTATAAAATTATGATATCAATAATCTAAACATATATACTATGAAAAGATTTTGTAGAATTTATGTACTTATTTTAATACAAATATAGTAATTATGGAAGATGGTGCGAGTAATGGCAATTATTATCTAAACAAGTATTTGAATAGCTTAAGTCCACTTAGATTTCTATTGTTTAACTTGAAATTGAAAGTTGGATGTCCAATTATGTTGTTGCAAAATATTGTTTTGCGTGAAGGACTTTATAATGGGTTACACTTGATTTTTATGGAATTGATTGACTAAGTTATAAAGACAAGGTTATTATCTAGAGACTGCAAGAAACAATTGGCTTTTTTTTCAAATATCACATTATGTCCAACATTTGTAGAGATTTTATTTAAATTACAATATAGATAAGTTTTGATAAAAATGGCATATGCAATGATTATTAACAAATTTCAAAGACAATCATTGAAGAATAAAAAAATAGATCTTTGAAGCTCTATATTTACACATAGACAGTTGTATATTGCCCTTTCACAATACACTTCTATGAATATGATCAAGATCCTATATCTTGAAAGTAATAAAGACAAAAATACCAATGAAATTATAGTTTATTTTGATATTCTTTTAAATTACCTATTTAAGTTGTTGTAATAAATAAAAATTATATTTGTCAATAATATAGAAGAAACATAATTGATTTATAATTATGTGTATATTCCTTTATTTTTTAATTTTTTTCTTGGCTAATATTTCTTTAAAAATAATTTATCTTTGACTTAGAAATCTAAAATTATAAAATTTATAACTTTTTTATATCTAACAACATAAGTTTTTAATATATAATATATAATATATATATATATTAATATATAATATTTAATGTATGTTATATATTATTTTGGGTCTTTATTTTTTTTCTATTTTAAATTAAAATTTTGTGACCTTATTCGAATAGTATATATTAAATATAATTACTTTTTGACCTTTTGATTTAAAATATCCTATGTGTTTTTGACATTTCTAACCATTACTATGCATGTATTTTTTTTTCTTGTGTTTGTAAAAGAATCACAAAAAAAATATTGAGAGCAACTATAATATTCCGAATTCATGAACAATCACACTACTATTATCACATAATGGGATTATAATACGGTTCCAGGCTCGCTCAACGGAGCACGCCATTCCACATTGGAATGTCGAGGCCAGCGCCACCTGTCCAAGCCATTCCGTCAGCAGACTGTCGATCGGACTCCCGCGCGCCAGGGCGGTCCACGTCGACCGGGACAAGGTGCCGAGGTGGCAGGAGAGAGTGCCGACGTGGAACGGGGGGGGGAGGAAGAGCGGTGAAAGAGAGAAAGCGGAGGGCGGGGGAGTGTGTGGCTGCTGAGCCATATCCATTGCCGGGCGATCGATCGTCCGGTGTGTGCCGGCCACATGAATCACATCCTCCATCGCCATCCGATCGATCCTCCTCTTGCTGCAACTCTAGTTCAAGACATCCCCCTCTTCGCAATTCTTGGTGCATCTGCTCGTGCATTGTTGCCCACTTCCTCACACCAATCCCTCTTGAGCTCGCCGCCTGCAGGTCCTGTCAGTCCCCATGGCTATGGCTGCGACGGCTTCGACCTCCCTCACCAGCGGATTGACCACCTCCTCGCTCGCCGCTGCCAACAATGGCGTCTGCGGAAGCCCCTGCCTCGTGATGGTGCCCGCACCTGGATTCAGTGTCACCAAGAAGGATGGCGTCGTTAAGGTGCAAGCTGCTGCCGCTGCGCCGGAGCGCGTCCCCGACATGGGGAAGCGTAATTTAATGAACTTGTTGCTTGCAGGTGCCATCTCGTTGCCCACGGCCGGTCTCTTGGGGCCTTACTTATACTTCCTCGTGCCCCCCAGCTCCGGTGGTGCCGGTTTGGGTGTTACCGCTAAGGACGCTCTTGGTAATGACATTACCTCTTCGGGATGGTTGAAGACGCACCCTGCAGGTGACAGGACTTTGGCGCAGGGTCTGAAGGGTGATCCTACTTACCTCGTTGTGGAGAACGACGGTACCCTGGCTCCCTATGGAGTCAATGCTGTGTGCACCCACTTGGGTTGCGTGGTGCCGTTTAACAAGGCTGAGAACAAGTTTATGTGTCCCTGCCACGGATCCCAGTACAACAACCAGGGTAAGGTTGTGCGTGGACCTGCTCCTTTGTCTTTGGCTCTTGCCCATGTGGATGTCGTCGAAGACAAGGTGCTCTTCTCCCCCTGGAAGGAAACCGATTTTAGAACCGGTGAGGAGCCATGGTGGTCATAGACTCCTTGAACTCGTAGTCCTTCGCAAGTGTACTATATTGGACTTCATTGAATCTGATGATTAGTCGAATACACTACGATGATGTCGTGCAGTTAAATTCGGCCACTTTCTGCTGTGGATTTCATTTTTGAATCACCTTGGTTTTAGTCTAAAAATTTGTCGATGCCACCGACTCTCCTTAGGGTGATGATTATATTTGTCTCTCGTAGCCATGTTTGTGGCTACGTGGTGAGGTCCGCCTGCCGCAATTAGATGAACTCATCAAAGCCTCTGACCCAGGTCTGTATATCGAGGCTTTTGTATCGCAATGTTAGTAATCTCGGGAGAACGGAATAAATGAATTGACGTTGAAAAGTCTATTTCTTTCTACGCTACTCTAGTTGTCTCAGGACGATTGTCGTGCATACCTGCTTGAAACTTTTAGGGAATGGCTGCATAACTTAGTGGCGGCGAAATTTTTGAAGAGGTTAAGTTTTGGTACATAGTATCTCTTTCATTTGTGCTGTGACTTCCGGGAATCGAGCATCTCACATTTGCAGTTTCGTCATCTGAGCATCAATTTAGCATCTTGATTGTGATCGCCTCACGATCGTCACGTCTCTAATTTTTTAAATGATAGGTAATTTTATTCATGAAAGAAGTTTAGAACTATTTCAAAACACTAGAAACAGCATGCAAATGTGTATATGACGCGAATTTAACACACTTTACTCTTCAAATGTAACACACTTTACTCTTCAATATGTGAAAAACAATAATCTCATACCGAAGTTGGCTTCGTGCATACAATCGCATGTGGCAGTGGTCCAGAGCACATCGTTCAAGTCTCAATCACAACTTCTATTACGCTGAAGACAAATATACCGACCCAAACAGTATGTCTACCGATATTTAGTTCTCTGATATATCCAGCATTACAAATCTTATCTGAAATAAATCGCATGGAAGAAATAAACTGAAACGCATCCTTGTGTCCCTACTTACAACAATGACTGATTAGAGTATTTATTTTCGCCTACTTAACTACCAACATGAAACTTAGTTAGTAGAGAGTAAGGATAATTCTCCAACGGATTGCGACGTCTACTCGCTGTATTCTGGAATATTGATTACCAATTCTTTTTGCGGGATCTGGACAATTCCCCTAGCTAGAGACGCCCAGAATGTAGAAGAATACAGAGCACCAGTGTAGGCTTGGGTTGTCCTGAGCATTCAGTTTCCCAAGAACTTTGTGACAATGTGGATACGATTATGAGAATTGAGTTTTCGGTTTATTGATTAGACATGGCAATTGGTGCATGGAACGGAAGCTATTGTAGAGTGCCTAGATTATTGCAACTAGATCTGCCAAAGCAGACTCCACCGAAAACGACCAAACCGCTCGATTGAAAGCCCCAGCACAACAGCAGATCGTCAATTGGAAACTTGGAATCCCAATCAGATCTACAAATCGAACTGTTACCCGAGCACGATTCTTATAAGTGATTATTTTTGAGAAGCTGGTGATTCATAACACCGTCTGGCGCAACTCCAACATCGACGTAATCTGTCAGGTCGGCAAAAGAACTTGACTAAACTACTGTGCAGATTATAGTCATGGCACTAATGGTGTAGCACACGAGGGTTTAGATTGGACCAGCCGAAGTCCACACATGCGGAACACTGCTCCTGTTGCAGCTTCTCAACGTGATGCCAACTCTTCTTAAAACGCACAAGAAGATTGATAGACCTTCTTATCCCAGATTGTGAAGATGAGATCGATGATTTGTCTAGCTAAAGTAATAAGTGCCATGAGTGCGGTAATGTGAGATTGCTACGGTGTGATAAGGGGTCCTGCGTCGATGGTCATGCCGGCCACCATTACTGCAGGGCGAGCCGCGAAGCTGGTGGCCTTGGAATAGAAGCTAGTGGAGTCTTTTAACCCCGAGGTGACGAAGAAAGCGCCGTTGTGAAACACATCATCCACGCTTCGCCAGTTCCAATTCTCCCCTCCGTCATTCGTGTTGCCATTACTAGAAATGCACTTGGTGACCTCCTTGGTGTTGCCTGCCATGAACTTATTACCCTTGCTGTTGATGGTAGGACTCCCCCCCCCAATGGCGTACATTGCCCACCCGGTGTAGTAGTTGTTGACTACATGAAATCACCCATATCGGCATCTACAAGAGTAACAACGATTATCCGTCGCAACAGAAAGCTTGGAAGGGACGGAGGTCAGATTATCCGATTCAAGTTGCACGACACTGTAGTTGAGATGATCGGGTTTGAGGTAGAAGTGGCGACTCACCTCGGAATGCGTTGGGTCAGGCCCTCCCCAAAGTGATTGAAAGCAACCGTGACCTGCATTGCAATGTCGATGATGTCCGCAGCGTTAGCTCCGAAGAGCATCACCTTGTTGTGATTGATAAAATAGTTGTTGGAGATCGTGATTCCCTTGGATCCCTCTACTACGTGTACCAATCCATCGGCTGAATTGTAGAGGTGATTGTGATCTAACCAGATGTCCCGAGAACCACGGATTGTCACTGCGTCTCCATCGGTCCTGCCCCTATCTCTGATGTGGTCGGGAGAAAGCCTCATATCCGCGGGGCCAGTAGGCTTGCAATCGTGGATGGAAATGCCGTGAATTGTGATGTTGCTCACATTCTCGGCGGTAAGGCAAGCTCCTCCAGCGATGTGCACATCTGCACCTCGCCCGTCGAGGGTCTTGTGGCTGTTCATCAGAAGCTCCTCCTTCAGCTCAATGTTCATGTTGCCGGAGAACACAATTTAGAGTGGCTCTGTTTGAATCAATCCCCATCTGAGTGTGCCAGTTGCAGGGTTAATCGCATCATCGTCACTGTTGTCCGTGACGATATTAACTTCGCCATTCATCCCCCCTGCAGAATTTTTGCCGAACCCAAGTGCGCAATTCGCAAGCTCTTGTCGGTTCTCCTTCCATCGATGGTCACATCTCCAGCAGTCGTCGATAAGGTTACCTGATCCACAGTCAGAAAGCGCTCGGCGTGTGTAATTCTCTCATAGGGAGAGCGCTGCAACAAAGTCAGTCTCAGAGGATCTGGATCCGCCACCAACAACACTGCCATGGTCTCTCTGACCGAGCACAATCATCGCAATTTAACAAATGGATACCCACATGCTGCGGCTGGGTTGAAGTGGCGATGATATAGACGTCCATCTAAACTTAGCCAGATTGTGGAGCGTGGTCTGGAAAACCTGTCAATAACTGTTTGTGCGGCGTTTTGAACAGAGTCTTCGAATATGCTTGAGGACCAGCTTGAGTACCAGCTTGAGAGCAAGGCAAGTGCTATCAGCGACAGGATTATTGTAGCTGTGCATAGTGATGCCATGGTATCTTTGGAAGGAACTCTGAAACTTTAAATTAGAAGATTAAAATTTTAATAGTATATTTAAGAGTTGTTGAAGATCAGCAACATCTAGCATAGTTGCTGCCACATACAGTTAAACCATAGTAAGTTGTTAATAGTCAAAAGATAACAAAGGATTAAAAGATGTTACTATAGTGGCGGCTAGGGTTTTAAGTGGCAGTTGGTTGAGAGGAATCTAGGGTTTAGTTGGATGTAGGAAAGAAGGATGAAAACGATTGTAGATAAATTTCATCTATAATTGATGTAAACTCTAGTTGTAAGTAAAAAGTGTTGGAAGTGAGAGTTATTTTACTCCACACTTCACTTTATGTATACCTTGTTGATGTTAAGTGTTGTGGTTTCTAACTTCTTTTTTTTCAATAAGTTATGGGCTTACTTACATTTCCTTGTGAGTTTCTTTGAAGTTATATGAAGTCTTTGTTGTTGTGTGGAATAGATGATATTGTTGTTGCTGATATTAGAATTTTGAAACTCCTAACTTTTAGATTCAGATCTAAATCTAGATCTTTGTTTGCTCTTACTTATTATTAAGTGCATCTTGGATTCAAAGTTTGATTTACGTCTTATGGTGATGTTATAAAGTACTAGTGTTGTGTTTTCTTATTGATTAAAATCCTTAGTAGACTAACTTTGTAGTTTTATGTGTTAAAAGAGCTTAAGGTGCTTAAAAGACCTTTTATAGTGTTTAGAAGTGATTTGTGAATTTAAAAGTAAGAGAAGAGTGAGAAATCTGGTTTAAAGCATTGATATTGATCATTGAACTTGTGAGAGGTCATAGAAGTGAAGTTGAGAGTGTTTTGAAAGTGAAAACACTAATTTATTTACAAAGAAGGTATTTTGAGATTTTAAGGCAATAATACCTTCTTGCTGATTTTGAGAGCTTTAGAACTATTTCTCTTTATCTTTTTTAATACATCTCTTTCTTAAATATGGCTTTAAGTGACAGTGAAGGCTTGAAAGCAATTGAAAAGTTTAGAGGTGAGAATTTCTACCATTGAAAGGTCAAAATAGAATTTTTGTTGGCTTCTTTAGATCTATGGAATACTGTAGATGAAAGTGAAGCGTCTCCAAGCATGCATGCTAATACAAAGGAGAAGAAGGACTACAAACGTCATGAAAAGAAGGCCTTTGGATTGATTGCATACAATGTTGATAAAGCCAACTTCTTCCTCATTATCTCTTGTAAAAGACCACAAAAAGCATGGAAGAATCTTTGCAACATCTATGACATCAAAAACTTATCCAACATCATCTACACAAGGAAGAAGTTCTTCACATTTAAAATAGAAGAAGGTGAAGACCTCATGGCACACATTAGCAAGTTGAAGGTACTTGCAAATCAGCTTGCAATTGTTGACAAGTCTTTAAAAAGGGTAGATGTTGTCATGACTCTACTCTTGAGCTTGCTGGAATCCTATAGCTATCTTATTATGGCTTTGGAATCCATTTAGATGAAAGAACTCACAATGGACTTTATGACAGTGAGACTTAGTCATGAAGTAACTAATAAGAAAGAAAAAGAGCCTCAAAGTGAAGATTTAGTACTCTACTCACAACAATGCAAGGACAACTATTCAAATCAATGATGTAATATCAAAACTTGCTTCATTTGAGGCAAAGTAGGACATTTTGTTCGAAATTACTATAAAAGAGAAAAGATGAAAAAGAAGAATGCAAATAATATACAAGATGAGTTTAGAAGATAAGATTATGCATTCATGGCAACAAACAGGACCTCTATGGCTGCCATATCAAGATGGATTGAGGATTCAAGTTATTCTAAGGACATGACACTTTATAAATATTCATTTGACACTTATAAAGTTATTTCAGTATCAAATGTGATTTAGTGGATAATGGCACATGTAAAGCCATTGGAATTGGTTCTATTATAGTAGAGGTGGTTGCAAATGGAAAAATCAATAGGATCACATTTCAAAATGTCTTTTATATGCTCAAGATGAAGCAAAACCTACTTTTGATAAGTAAACTTGTAATGGAAGGTTTTATGATTCAATTCAATAAAAATGGATGTTTTGTAAAATCATTGTATAGAAACATGATTGCCATAGGCTCTAGAGAGAGAAATTTGTACTACCTTGAATATAAGAAGGTCAACAGAGTGGAGATAGCTGCATTTGTTAAGTTTATATCAAACCAAGACAAGTTGAATATATGGCATTGTTGCCATTTAAACGTGAAAAGTATGGCAAAGCTTAAATCTATAATAAGGGACTTAGATCTTAGCAAAACAAGCCAAAATGCAATACAACTTGCATGTAAAGGATGCATACAAGAAAAATAATAAATGGTCTCATTTCTAAGTGGTGTAGCAACACATGCTTTAAAGTTGTTGGAGATTGTCCATTCTGATATATGTGGAGCTATAAAAAATACAAGTATTGGAGGAAGAAGATATTTTTTTATTTTCATTGATGATTTTTCAAAAAAGATTTGGATTTACATTCTTAGAACAAAAAATGAGTACTTTTGGAAGTTTAAGGAGTTTAAAGTACTTGTTGAAAAATAAAGTGAATGCAAGATCAAGGTACTGTTTATGAACAATAGAGTTGAGTACATGTTTAAGTAATTTGATGTTTATTTGAAGAATAAAAGAATTGTTAGATAAACAACAACTCCATATATTCTACAATAAAATCATATTGCTAAAAGGACAAATCAAATTATTGTGGGGATGGCAAGAAGCATGTTTCATGCTCAAAATCTTAGTTATGAATTTTGTGCAGAAGCTGTGGTGAATGCAATATATACAAGGAATAGATATTCAACAAATGTTCTTGCATCAATAACACCACAAGAAGCTTGGAGTTAGAGACAATCTTGCATTTCAAATATGAAGACCTTTGGATGCATTGTATAAGCAAAGACACCAGATTGTAAGAGATCCAAACTTGATGCAAAAGGTACAAAGTGTGTTTTTTTAGGATATTATGAAGGTATCAAGGCATATAAGCTAATGTGTTTGGACACCAAAAAGATCATCAAAAGTCGTAATGTCGAATTTTTAGAGCATAAAAATACTTGTGAACACTTGAAGATATATCTAAGTATGAATAATGGTATATTTGTAAATACATCTTCAAATTTAGCAAAGAAATAAGAAGATAAAGACAATGAAGATGGTGAAGGTGTAAATGAAGATGAAAAGATAAAGAAGAAGGCCTTGCAAATTCTTAGGACTAGTAATGAAGATGTTGAAGATTATGATGATAATAATGATGAAGAGTATCAACTTTTAACTGAAAAAAGATAAGCTTTAAGAAAAAAGAAGCTTAGAAGAGAGCTTAGAGTACAATAAGCTGAATCTTCTTAAAATGAAAGAAGATATCCCTTGAGAGAAAAAAGACCTCATAGCAAATAGTAGAAGGACCACATCTTTCTTCAAGTAAGTGAAGAATATGCAAATGTTGCTCTCTTTGCTGATCCATTGTCTTTATATGATGCTATAAAGTCTCAAGATGCAATGAAGTGGAAAAAGGCTACAGAAGAAGAATATCAATCTCTTATGAACAATAGTATATGGGAATTGATATCTCTTCTAGCAAATTGATCTAGTATTGATTATAAGTAGGTGTTTAGGACTAAAAGAGATGCAACAAGTGTGGTAGTGAGGCACAAGGTAAGATTAATTGCCAAAGAATATTTACAAGTGTTGATATTGACTTTAATGAGATTTATATACATGTTGCCAAATTCACCATTATTAAGACCATTATGGCAATTGGAACAGTAATAGATTTGGAAATATACCAAATGGATGTAAAGACGGCCTTTTCAAATGAAGAATTGGAAGAAGACATCTACATGGACTAACTTCAAGGATTTGTACAATAAAGCAAATAACATGTTGCATGCAAGTTGAAGAAATTATTGTATAGATTGAAACAATCACCAAAAGCATGGTACCAATGTATTGACATATTTTTTGTCAATAAGAGATTTGTAAGGAGTGAGGCTAATGATTTATTATATGTGATGCAATGTAAAGAATTCTTGCTAATTGCAATCCTCTATATTGATGATTTGACCATCTTAGCTAATAATATGAAAAAGATAGATTAGATGAAGGTCATATTACAAAAAGAGTATGAAACGAGTGTTTTGAGAGAGTTCCACTATTGCTTAGGAGTAGAGTTTATAAGAGATCATGGTAACAAGACCATTACAATGAGCCAAAGCAAGTACATTAAAGAAGTATTGAAATGTTTCAATATGGAAGAGTGCAAGTCCATTGGAACACCTTTGGAGGCCAATTTGAAGTTGATGAAATTTACAGATGAAGAATATGCATATGTTGAAGGTGAGATGCAAAGTATTCTATACAAGGTAGTAATAGATCCACTTATATATACAATGGTGGCTATAAAAGTAGATCTTGCATTTAGTATAAGTGTTGTAAGCCAACACATGACTTACGCAAGACCTTTGCATTGGACAATGGTAAAAAAGATATTGAGGTACTTAAAAGGTATAAAGAACTTCAAATTGTGCCTTACTGGTAAGAATATTAATTTGCAAGGATATTATGATACAAATTAGACTGGAGATGAAAATAATAAAAGATCCTCAATAAGATATGTGTTCTTTATTGGAGTGAGAGTCATTTCATGGAATTGTAAGAGACAATCTACCATTGTAAGATCAACTATGGAGGTTGAGTATATGATAGCAAGTCATTGTGCAATAGAAGCATGTTGGATAAGACAACTCTTAAAAGACATTGGACTAGTAAAATTAGAAGTAACTCCAATAATATGTGACAATTAAGGATATCTTATATTTACCAAGAATCCAAAGCACCATTCGAGAATCAAGCACATTGATATTCAACATCATTTCATATGAGAGAAAATTGAAGATAGAATAATTGGTATGAAATATTGTACTACAAAAGACATGCTTATTGATGTGCTTATAAAAACTTTGGTAAAGGATAGACACTAAAAATTGATAGAGGTATTAGGCTTGAAAGTCTTTTAACAATTAGCAAAGTGGGAGTATTGAAGATTAATATGATCTAGTATAGTTGCTGCCACATAGAATTAAACCCTAGTAAGTTGTTAATAGTCAAAAGATAACAAAGGCTTAAAAGATATTACTATGGTGGCAGCTAGGATTTTAGGTGGCGGATGATTAAGAAGAATCTAGGGTTTAGTTAGATGTAGGAAAGAGGG